GAACCGCGGACATACAGTGTACAGAGTATTGTGCAGGGTGCATGAAACAAAAAAAAAAGAAAAAGTGTGAGCCTGTGTGTGCACATGTGTCAGCGCATACTTGTCTGAACATATCAAAGAAGCGCAGGCAATAGATCACAGTTTCCATCTATAAGTTAAGCATCAAATTTTTAACTGATCCCAGCTTCAGAGGACAACAGAGAACAAACCTGATGGGATCCATGTGTGTGTGAAGACAAAGATCACAGACGCACATGGACACACACACGTGATCTTGCTTACTCAACCACTTTTTTAAAAATGTATCATCTGTATTAGTTTTTTTTTCTTTCTTAGCAGAACAAAACTTTTATTTTAGAGCTAATAAATGTGTCTCTGTGAATCATATTAGAAGTCGTCAGATTCACTTTAGGGTAGACTTGCTTCTGATTTCTTGGAACTTCAGACAGCTCATGGAGCCTTTTTAAGTATCCGAACCTGAAAGCACTAAGGGGTTGGGAGAGACACAGCCTGTCTGGTAGACAGAGACAACTCGCCATCCTGGTGCTGCTTAAAAGCTTGTTGTTCCTTTCCAATCCGGATTTAATTCTTTCTATATCCCTGGGATTGGCATTGGTTACTGATAATGACTCATTTCTGACTTTACAACCGAGTTAACTCACCTGCCTTTTTACCCATTACGCTGGTGTGATGCTGTACAGCTCAGATCCAAAGCGCCAAAAAGTTTTGATCTTGATGCTGTGTACAATAAGTAAAGCTTGTAAAACATAAAGCAGATGAAGCATGTTGTTCCCCTTCTGGCAAAGTAAATACGTACAATCAACAACCAACACAAATCTTTATAACAACTGCCAGATCTCTAATTATTGGATTTTCAACAACTGTTTAAAGTCTTGTGGAATACACTGAGTGCACCAAGTTTCTTCAACCTCAATCTGGACTCTTTAAATGTCCTGGTCAAGCTTTTTTTTTTCTTTTTCTGGCCTTTTTGCCTTTATTAGTTAGAACAGTGAGAGAGTGAGACAGGAAAGTGGGGAGGACCTGCAGCAAACTGTTGTGAGCAGGCGTCGAACTCACAACCACTGCATCAGTCCCTGTTCATGGCTGGCCCGCTCAACCAGGTGAACTACAGGGGCGCCTCTGGTCAAATTTTAAGGTTTTATACATAGACGGTATAAAAGATGGACGTAGCAACCGGCCCTGAAAAATGAAGCCAACCCGGAAGTGTCAAAAACCTGCAATATCACTACGTCCACTAGCTGCTGGCTCCAAAAAGCCCTGGCTCCCATAGACTTGAATTGGAAAAGAATTGATCACAGATCCTGAAATACTGCATTCCTACAGCTCAGGATTTTTTAAAAATTAGTTTTCATGGTTAAATCTAGAGATCAGGTGGCCAATCTGAAAATAAATCAATACTGAATTTTTTAAAAATCGTCAAAATTTTGCGGAGCAAGGGGCGTGGCTGGCTTGATTGACAGTCAGCAGTGACGATGCAGACGAAG